ATGAAAGTGTGGGGTTGCTTAGCAAAGGTTCATGTTCCTTTACCTAAGAGAGTAAAACTTGGTCCTAAAACTATTGATTGTGCATTTATTGGATATGCCAATAATAGTGCAGCTTATCGATTTCTAGTTATTAAATCTGGAATTTCGGAAATTCAATCAAATACCATTATTGAGTCTAATGAGGCTGAATGGTTCGAGCATATTTTCCCATATAAAGAAAGACTCGATCAAAATAAAAGAAAGATACATGATTTAAGTCATGAAAGTGATGATGTGCCATCATCTGTTGTTCGAGAAAAGGACTTTGAGTCAAATAGAGACACATCGTTGCAAAGGGAAGAAATGGAACCTAGAAGGGGAAAACGAATCAAAGTTGCAAAAGACTTTGGACCTGATTACTACACCTTTCTTACTGAAGATGAGCCACAAACATATAAAGAGGCTATAACTTCATCTGAATCGATATATTGGGAAGAAGCAATAAATAATGAAGTTGAATCCATTTTACAAAATAATACATGGGAATTGGTAGACTTACCACCGGGATGTAAACCGATTGGTTATAAATGGATTTTCAAAAAGAAATTGAAGCCGGATGGTACTATTGATAAATATAAAGCTCGGTTGGTAGCAAAAGGTTATCGTCAAAAACAAGGGCTGGATTTCTTTGATACATACTCACCAGTAACTAGGATTACGTCTATAAGGATGTTAATTGCTATTGCAGCTATTTACAATTTGGTTATACACCAAATGGATGTAAAAACCGCATTCCTTAATGGTGAGTTAGATGAAGAAATCTATATGGAACAACCTGAAGGTTTTCTGGTGAAAGGGAAAGAGAAGAAAGTGTGTAAACTTGTAAAGTCCTTATATGGACTTAAACAAGCACCTAAGCAATGACATGAAAAATTCGATAACACAATGATATCACATGGATTTCGGATCAATGAATGTGATAAATGTGTTTACATCAAAAAGTTTGACAATGGTTCTTATGTAATTGTATGTTTATATGTTGATGATATGCTCATCATAGGACCAAACTTAGATGTCATAAACTCCACAAAGAGGATATTGAATTCGACCTTTGATATGAAAGACATGGGAAAAGCAGATGTTATCTTAGGAATTCGAATTCAAAGAAGTAATGATGGATATATACTTAGCCAATCACATTACTTGGAAACAATACTTAAAAGGTTTGGACACTTTGATAGCAAACCATCTAGTACTCCATTTGATCCTAAAAGTTTCTTGAAGAAAAATGTTGGAGATAGTGTATCTCAACTAGAATATGCACGGATCATTGGTACACTACAGTACATTACAAATTGTACTAGACCGGATATCGCTTATTCTGTGAATAGATTAGCAAGATATACAAGCAATCCTTCAAAGGCTCATTGGGAAGCTCTGATTAGAGTATTGAGATATTTAAGATATACAATGAACTATGGATTGCATTATACAAGATATCCTCCAGTTTTGGAAGGATATAGTGATGCAAATTGGATTTCAAATGATACGGAAAAAGCTACAAGTGGTTATGTTTTTACACTTGGAGGGGCTGCAGTATCATGGAAATCACAAAAGCAAACGTGTATATCACGTTCTACAATGGAATCAGAGTTCATAGCCTTAGATAAGACCGCCGAAGAAGCGGAATGGCTTAAAAACTTCTTAGAAGATATTCCGTTATGGCCTCAACCTATGACAGCCATATGTGTACATTGTGATTGCATGGCAGCTATTGGTAGAGCAAAAAGTCATATATATAATGGCAAGTCAAGGCATATAAGGCGTCGACATAACACTATAAAACATATGCTCACAAGTGGCATTATTTCCATTGATTATGTGAAATCAAAGGAGAATATTGCAGATCAACTTACAAAGGGTATACCAAAGGAGCAAGTGTTATATCTATCGAGGGGAATGGGCTTAAAGCCAATGCAATGAGGAGTAACTTGGCGGAAACCAAACCTAGCAATTTTGGTTATCCAATTCTAGGTTCAAAAAGGAAAACTAGTTGAGTGAAACTCGAAAGAATAGAGCATACAATATTGTTCATTCCTATGATAAGAACCGTATGCTACCTGTGATGATAAGGGTGAATGATTAATCATTCTTAATGACACAAAGTATATATTAAAAAGAATATTGCAGGGTATTTATATAATCATCGTGTCACCTATATAGTAGTAATGTGGGGTCGCATTCATGAGAATGACATGGCTAAATTCTCTAAAGCTTCTATGAATTCAGGACTGTTCATGACCAAAATGAACGCAACCGTATGATTTGAAAGGTGTGAAGATTTGATATGTGTGATACTTGTTGTCTTGGTTTACTAAACATGGTGAACAGTTCAATGTCTCCTATACACACTGATTCGCTAGTAACTCCGATAAGTATTCACTAAGGAAGGTTCAAGTCCAAAAGACACCTATCCTGATGCAAATTGAATCTAGTTTTTCTCCAGGCCGTCCAAACCCTGGTAACTGACGCTATTTGCTATACAAATGTGGGGTATTGTTGGAGAGTTTGTATAGAAATAGGGGTTTTGGATGTTGTTGTTTGTCCCACATAGGATAGGAATAGAAAGAAAAACTTGTTTATAAGTGTGAAAGTTATATCCTTAATAAATTGGATAAAAGACCACTCAAATGGGCTTTGGGCCTGACCCATATGATTTGGGCTTGATTGGGCTCCTTGATAGGCTATATAAATATATATATTATATAGTCAAAAGATGGGCCTTGGGGCCTTGGGGGTCTTGGGTCTTGTGATGTCTAAATTTCAGTTTTAGCGCTTATAATTTTCTTTTTCGGTTTTGTTCGGTTTTGTCTGAATGGATGTGTCTGATCAACACAACTGTTTTACCATAACCGACACAAAGGATAAGGATCTTCGTTTTCTATATATCTGTAGAGAAAACGTCTGTTTCAGTTTACTGAAAAAAAAATCCTGCATTTTTTATTCCTTCATAAATTTTGTTTGAGAGAAGAAAACACTGAGTATAATCGCCAGAACCAATAATCGAGTGCTCGTTTCTTGGGTATAGATTGTTGAATCCTGGTGGCAGACGCTCATCGAACTACAAGCACAGGAGTAGGGGCGAATTTCTGCTATAGGACATAGCGTTGTGCTAGCCTCAATCTGAAATTCAAGTCAGTATCGTTTATGTTAATTTTGTTGTCGATCTATATATTGTAGTGATATTATTCTGTTTTGTAAGTTCATTGCGTTATTAGGTCTGTCTAGTTCTTTAATGTTTCCAACAAAAAGCACATACCAGTACATGCATATTAGGTTGCCCTATCCTATCCATAGAAAATACAGCCCCAGCTGGAACCAGTGAACCTGCAAATAAGTTCTTACATCACAAATTCGTACTCGTACTTTTAGTTGGAATTGCAACTATATCACAGTTACTAAAATAAATAAAGAGATAATTGCAGTAAAAGTCTAACACCTTTAAAATATTGATACCGTCAGTTGATCCAAAAAATTGATTTTGACCACATTTTAATCAATTTTAAAAAGGTAAAATGGTAACTATTTATTAATCACATTAATTGTGAGATTTTATGGTGGGATCAGCCAAACCACAACAAAATGAAAGAAATTGGGTGTTTGCTTCTGATTTTGAGAATTGATTCTCAAATCAATTTTCATTTTCAACCACACATTCTTCAATAAAAGAATATTTTCCATCACATCAATAATTTTTTTCTTTTTCAGCCACACATTTCCCATCATATCACTATTCAAAATCAATTCTTCCCCCAAAAAATCCCTACCAAACAAGGTCAAAAATACGAGCACAATCAACCCAAATGAATGCAAGTAAACTTAGAGACGGCTAATCCCGAGCAATAATTACATGAGAATAAGTAAAAAGATAGTTATATTGATTCACTGAGAACTATGTTCACTTGTCACTACATAATTTTACTTAACAACTGTTAGAATTTATGTTGTATTGACAATTCTTTAGATAAAATGATTATTATAAAAGAATAAGATTGTTACAAAAGAGTTGTAAGAATCAAGAAATCTTTTGGAGAGTTGTATTGATGAACTAGGAGTCTTTGGGTACAAGTATAGAACAAGGAGAAAGAGTCACNATTACGCCTTTTAGAACATTGCAAACAAGGGTATAAATTGTTAGCTAAGGTGCTGATTTCGACAAGAAGAAACTTCCAAACCCGCCCACTCAATAAGGGTGACAAAGGGGCTTAGCTTATTCTTAGGCTCGACTCATACCGAATTAATTCATGGATGGCTCAAGCTCGAGCTCATTTCGAGACGAGTCATGAGCCGAGTCAAGCTAACATTTTTTCAAAAGTGAGCTCATTTGAATTCATGGACACAAGCTAATGACTCGGCTTGTGGATTAACTCATTTTTATACTCAAAGCCCAATTGAGCCCCATTTTCTTGTCAATAATACATTTTGGAATAGTGATTTGATTGAGAATATGTGGTTAAAAAGTAAGGAAAATTTTTATATTTGCTTGTAATATTATTTTATTGAAAAATGTGTGATTAAAAATGAGAGAAAAAAATGTATTTAAAAACAACGGGGATCCAATGACTTATTTTGTTAATTATCTAAAAAATAAATGAATGGATGGCTCGGCTCGGCTCGGCTTGTGAACCTCACCAGCCAAAGGACCAATTGATCATAAAATTTGGACACCAGAGTCGAGCTGAGTCGGGTGTGCACGGGCGAGCCGAGCCCCTACACCCACCATGGTCAACCACCCACACCACACTACCATCTACCCGGGATAAGCCCAAAACCAGCTAAGATCATGAAACTGATTGCGTGTAGACCCCAGTTGAAATCGAACACGAAAACATCGTATTTGCTTCGCGATTAAGGCAAACCTTCCCACAGTAAAATCCCCGTATTTTTTTTTTATTTTACATTTTCCATCTCGCTTCATCGCTTGAAATTCAAATTACTGCTGTAGACAAGAAAAGGCGAAAATGGAGACTCCTTTGCTGTCATCAGGTAGGCTTTCCAATCCATAAAGTTGCAAACTTTCTATGGATTATTTTGTTCTTCGCAATCTTATACTTAAAAGGGGATATAAATATACTTTGTGACAGAGAAAAGTGACAAAGGAAGTGAAAGATGGAGTACATACGAACACGTAGGCCGTGCCGGGTTGGCAATTCCAACGGCTTTCATGGCTGGAACCGAAGCGAGCGTCGATGAAATTCGATCCGCCTCTGCTTTTTCTGACCCGTACCCGCCTTCTTTACACGCCCCTTTGGTTGGTTCCTCCGAATTACACCACCTCTATCCTAACGGTAATTTCAAATATGGTATAATTTTATAGTTTTCTGTAACCCTTCTGAATCTCACACCGTTTGGGATTCTCTTTACAAGCTGGTTTTAAGGAGCCTAACGAATGTTTTGGGATTAGTACTGATCGATACAGTTTTATTACATTTCTGAGTAATAAAGAGGTGGATCACGTGTATACCTCTGAGTCATGTAAAATTCTTTCTGACTATGGGTTTTTAATTTGGTTGATGGTAATACGTGATATTTTGCATTGTCAATAGAAATTAGGATTCTGTAGCTACTTAGTTTAATAGATTTCTAAAACAAGAATTTTATCGAGCTTAATTTATGTATTGTTTTCTAGTTATGGTCCATTCATTTGGCAGAAATTACATTCGTGAGAAGAATGAATTTTAAGACCATCTCTATCAACCTGAGCTAATGAACATGTGAGATTTAAGAAGCTAATTTAGCTAGCAAGTTTTAGCATCAGTTCCCACCCAAATTATCAAACTCTCTGCAATTTTATGTCCCTATGTTTTTGAATCTTTTTATTTATTCCAGTTCCTTATCAGTTAGCATGTGGAACTTTATAACCTCTGGTAATGCCATTTTGGCGGATCATGAGTTGTAGTTCTCTTGATGCAGCACAAGGGACTGGTTATCCTCAAGGCGGATATCATGGACATTTAGGAACGACGGCTGATGTAAGCAGGTAAGTTTCGAATATGCTCCTCACAGGCAGGATTAGTTTGATCATGTACTCGAATATGATAGAATATACTTCAATATTATCTAGCTTTGCATTTTTCTCTAAGGGCATATAATTTGGACGGACCTTCGGACTACACATAAATTTTCAAGGGTTATGTTGGGGATTTTAACCCCGTAAATATAAACTAATGAAAAATAAACACACAACCATAGTGCAGGAAGTAAACGAAAATATCAAGAAATGTTCACCCAGTTCAACTTAAAGCCTATTCTGGGGGCTCAAAGATTAGCCCAAATACTAAGCATAGCAAAAACCTTCCAACAAGAGAGTACAGATCATGAGATACTCAATCAAACTAGATTTAATCATTGATCTTCTAAAGATCTCTTAAATCTTAAACCCTAACCAAAAATATCACAGAACTTCACGAACTTCTACAGACCTAGAAATCGCCTTATATTGTAGCAACACGAATCAAATAGGATTCCTCAACGATTTTGGCTAGAACCTCTAAGAAATTACAGATCAAAAACAAGAAGAAGACTTGAAGAACTTAGAGAGAGAAAGAGTCACTCAAGAATGAAAAGCCAGAATGAAAAGAATCATTGAAAACCACAGCCAACCAAAGAGTCATAGTGTGGTGTTTAAATATCAGCCGTAGGTTATATACAACGGTTCATCATCCACTTGAAGAAGCACAATCCAAGCTAAAGAATGAGAGCCAATCCGGGGTTGCCATGTGGCCATCCAACCAAATTGGTTTTAAAAGAGTTGTTAATTGTGATAAACACGTTTTTCTCTACAGGTTAATTACTTAATTTACATTCTTTAATCTAATTCCAAAATCAAACTTCATGCCACCAATCCTAAGATCAAGATTTACAGTGTTTTATATGGGTCTTTAGTTTTGCCTTTGAATCATCTGTTTAGTGTTAAGAATCCATTTGTTTGTTGTGAAGGATTCGAAATGTTATGAAATTGTTAAAGGATCCATTTTTATTCTTCTCCGTCTTCGTATTGTAAGAATGAAATTCTATGATGTCTGTCATGATGGAAAGAAAACTGATAGAAGGTAAATATTGGATTTGGAATCGACAAGCACATAATATCTTAAACTTCCATGAGGTGGAATTTATAGTTCATGCTCGAAAAGCACTATAAATACTAGAGATCCAAACACTTCTAGCTGCTTGCCACATGGCTCGGAAAGATTAAGAATATCAAACTATTAAAAACAAAATGGAAATAGAAGCTTGTGACACCATTAACTTCATATTTGACGGGTGATTCCTGCTTGGAAGCCTCCATCACCAAGGCTTCCTGTTTACATTATTTATGTGTTTAATACATGTGTGCTTTATGTTTTGGATTGGTGTATCTCAACGATATGCAGCAGATATGTCCCTCTAGGCATGCTTGAAAGCCATTAAGAAGCGGATTAGTTCCTCAGTAACATCAGCTTTCTTGAATGAAATTAAAATAACTTGAAGGCAACAATATATAAATAAAATTGAAATAGGAATAGAAAGAACTTCTATTGGTCAGACATGTCCTGTTTATGTCTGATTATTACAATTGTAAATCGATTACCTCGCGAAATACTTTTATATTGAACTTCCTGTTGGGTCTGTTGGATTTGTTTCATAGATTAAGATTTTGAAGTGGCTCATTACAGCTCTTTATTACCTGTCTCACTACATTTGAATGTATAACGTGGTAATCCATGTAAGTGTCAGTACAGGCAAGTATTGGATGAGGTAGAAATACGAGAACTACTCATAGATCATGTCGGTCATCGTTGTTGTTGGGGAAGTCGTCCTGCTCGGACTTGGAATATACATGCTGTTGAAGATTGCAATGTTTACACGGGAACTCTGGAGACTTTTATTGAAGAAAGGGAAACAATAACAGAAAAGGAACCATACTCTGGTGGAAACATTGATGGAAAAAATGAGGGGCCTGAACTTGGAATATGGGAATTGGATTTAAGGTCTGAGTTTCCTGTACTATTTATATCTCATAAAGAGTCACGAACCAAAATTCCTCATTCAGAAGCCATTGAGAAATGCTCAGGTACTGGCTATAAGAATGTCAGTTTGATTTTATAGTTACCTTTTTTTTTTAAATCAATTTTGGTAACTTTATCTGCCCCTCATCCACTCATGGTTTGTTGGTTATGATCTTCAATTTGCTTGTATGGATTTTTGAATATAACACTACAGTTTTCTCTTGTAATTCTGTAGGTTGTGCAGGACGTGGAAATTTTGTGTGTCCCACTTGCAATAAAGATCAAGAGCCTGATTCATATAAGGAGAATCAGATGTCTCCATGTCCTACTTGTTATGGAAGAGGTTTGATTGCTCATAGAGATGGATCAGATACAATGTGAGCTTTTTTTTCATAATGTAGTATTGAAACTGCATCATTTTCGTAGTTACGCTTCTTGCTTTATGGAATACGTGTATTGCATTTAGCACATGATTCATTTGAAAATTTCACTTTGTGCAGGTGTCTCAAATGTAATGGTAAGGGAACAATTCCTTGTGCAAACTGTGGATCGCGTGGGTTAATAAAATGTGAGACATGTCAAGGCGGTGGCTCTCTTCTAACTCGCCAAGTGGCTGTCATTAGATGGTATGCGTATAAATTGATAAAAATGTATTAATATTAATAATTTTTTTTTTGGCTTGGCTTGGCTAGACATTCTCACTTGATATCTGCTTCTATCAATTTTGTTATTGTATCCTGCATCTTCAGGAAGACACTGTCAGCTAGGAAAGTAAGTGCAGAAAGTGGTGCAGCTTCAGTTCCAGACGACGTATTCCACCGAGCAAAAGGAGTGCAGTTGTGCAATAATCAGGCCTACCAGTGTGCTCCTGCATTTTTTGCAGATTCATACTTCCTCAACAAGTTTTCTTCGGAAGTAATTGCAGAGAGGGCACCTGTACCTACAACTGCAAGGGTCATATGTGAGAGACATACAATCTCTGTTGTCCCGGTGACTCGTGTAACCATGACTCATCGCAATCGCTCCTTCAGTTTCTATCTTATCGGAACTGGACGAGAAGTGTATTTAAAAGAGTCCTATCCTTCGAGATTTTGCTGGGGGCTTTGCCCTTGCTTGGAATGGTTGAAGTTATAGTTTATCCTTTGATGACATCAAGTCAAGGGACAATATGGAATCAATTTTCATCTAAAATTTCGGCAGACAGTAATGTGTGAGATGTAACTATACAATTTTATCTTATTTCATTGCACTTGTGTGGTATGTAATTTCTGATGGAATAATGTTGAATTGGGGAATTGGTTACTGTAATTCAAGATGATGGGATATTTTGGGACCAAATTGTGCAAAAGAAACTGCTGCCTTCGTTGTTAGGAAGGAAACCTTCCACAAAAAGGGTCTTTACATTTTAAGTATATTTCAATGAATTTCATATTCTCAGTGTATACGGTGCAATATTTTTCAAATTTCATGGTGTGTATCTGTGATTTTTTCTCTCGACAAAACAATGTATATTCCGAGGCCCAAATGTGAAATTCTTGAAAAATGGTGGTTGTATTGTTATCACGATTTGTTTAGTTGCACTATTTTTTAATTGTATAAAACCTTTTCAATATTTGTTCATTGTAGATGTAGTGATGTCCTCAATGTGTTTTTCGTTGTATTTTTATCACCAATTTCCGTTAATGTGCTTCTCTGATGATGGTTTCGCCCCAAAAGTTACTTAAAATGATTTATTTATCCTTCATATTTTTAAATCAACAAAAATAAAAAAATTCGGAAGTTCGACATAATATTTGGCCGTCATTTTAAAATACTAACAAAATAATTAAACCAAAACCAGGAAAAAGATATGATAAGAATGGAAAGTCGGTTATATGGACGTGATGAAAAAAGTTGAGCACATAAATGTAGGGATGGCAAAATGGTTCGCCGGCTTAGTGGTGCTCAGGCCAAGCTCCATTTTGGGGCAAAGGCTCGAGCCCGAGCCGCTCAGCCAAGTTTTAAAAAAAAGTTAAAAATAATAATAATTTAGCTGCATGCGTCAGCTGTCTCACAAATGCAGGCGGCAATTTTTGGAAAATTTTTTTAAAAAAATCGAGTCGGCTCGTAAAGGCCTGAGCCGAAAGATCAGGTCGAGCCTAAAATTTTTAGCCGAACAAAAGCTCGACTTGGCTGGAGCAAAAAAGAACTCAAACCATTTTTACTCAAATTTCGAGTTTCGGCTCATAGCTCAGCTTGGCTCGTTGACGCCCCTACATAAATGTAATAATAAGAAAAAATTTGAAAGGTGGTGAAACTAAAAAAAATACTGTGGTGATAATATATAGTCATGAGGAAATTACACCCACCCCTAATTTTAGATTTCCATTTTCAAAAATCACAAGTTTAACTTTTTAAAAATCAGGTTTTTTATATTTAATTTAATATTAATTATATAATTTTCATTCCAATTAAAATTACTCAAACCAACCCTAAAATTCATTTCCCTCTATCCCATTCTCTCCTCCTGTTTCTGTGCTTGGAACCCGCCGCCAACAGCACCTCCCCCCGTCGGTGAGAGCCCATAGATCCAGATCTATGGTTTTTTCAGCAGCGCGGACTCCCACACACCACCACAACCATAGTCGTCTTCCTCACCGCCACGGCGTCGATGTCGTTCTCCACCATTTTCGACCTTCTTGCCCACGGATCCAGTTGGTTTTTCAACAGCGCGGTGCGACTGCGCCTCTGCCTCTGCACGATCCGTATCTTTTTTTTTTTTTGTGAATTTGCGTCGTGCGGTGCTGCTGTAGTTGTGCGTGCGTCGTGCAGCGGTGTTAGTGTTTGGGTTATTTTTGTGTTGTGGGCTACGCGTCGTGATTTGGTGTGAGATTTTTGGGTTATGTTTCAGTTGTGGATCAGGCGGCAGCGGCATAGTGAAGGTGGTGGTGGGACAGTGGTAGTGGTGGTGATGTGCGGTTGGGTGTGTGTGTTCTGTGTTCGGATGGGTGTTGTCTGGTTCCTTGGTGTTGATATCGTGGTTTTTGTTGTTGTTGGAGTGGTCACAGAAGTTGGCGGCCGTGGTTTCGTATTTGGGTGGTGTTGGCAATGGTTGTGTGTTCTGCGTATGATTTGTGATTTAATGGTGGTCACAAACGATTTTGGAGGTGGTCACAAATAATTTGATTTGTTTGTGACCACTAATTATTAATTGTGATCAAAAAATTATTAATTGTGATTTAAAAAGTATTAATTTGTGACCTAAAAATTATTAATTGTAACCAATAAATTGATAAATTGTGACCTAAATAAGTATTGTGACTTACAAATTTTGTGATTTGTGATCGATGAAAAAATTGTGACGTTTAAATTTTTAAGTTGTAATCGATGAACAAATTGTGACCTATAAAATTTTTGAATCGTGACCGTAAAATAATTTGTGACATATTTTTGATTCGTGATCAAAACATAGTATGTAACTAATTAAATCGTTAATTTGTGACCAACTTATATAGATTTGTGACCTTAATGTATTTAATTAATTAAATTATAAATAAATTTTAATTAGTATCTGATTTTTGAAATTTGAAACATTTGTTCTTAATTTTGAAATGAGTGATACTNTTAATTTAGTAATTACTATTTCATAATTAAAAATTTAAAAGAAACCTGAATTTTAAAATTTGAAACATGTTTTGGTATTTTTAAAATTGGTAAAAGTAAAAACATGATTTATGTATTCTTCCCCGTAGTCATCCTAGTTGAAATGAAAGTTTTTTGTTTGGGCCATGAACTTAAAAGAACAGATCTCTCAGAACCCAAATATTCCTTCCTACTAGAAAAAGCTTTTGGATAGCTATCCGCAGGCCCAGTGAATATTCAGAAGCGACGTCGTTTATAGTCACGAGAACTAGGGTTTCATCATGGGCATAACTTCCTTTTTAACTCTCACGCACCAAACTCTTTGTAATCGTCATAACTCACAAATTCGCATTCATATACTAAAATTATTAGTATTATCAATATAATGTATGATTATTATTCCTTTATGCCCTGAAGATTTCTTCTCAAGATATTATTTTTGCCCTTTGAATTCTGTTTTGTTTTTATTTTCCTATGGATCGATGATGTGAGAATAAACTGCGTTATCTATCTGCAATTTCCAAATTGGAGATGAAGAATACATTAAGCTTGCTGAGATCCAATCGGTACTCAATTGCCGATTCAGAATGAAAAATCTTTTTTTTTTCCTTTTCAAATTATTTTATTTTTTTGTTAATTGAGACGAGAGTGAGCATCGTTGATGAGCTTTATTTGAATTGTTATCCTTGCACTTTGATTGTCAGTGAAGAAAACCCATGGGGATTCACAAGTCTGAGATGCTCATTAGATATTTCTATCTAATTCTCTTGCTATATTTTAATATTCTTCATTTTTTTCGTCTTTTTTTTTTTCGAATTGAACCATTAGATTTTCTACTTTCCTTCATTTCTTTGGATCGGTGATGATACTAAAAAAACACGCTATCTATCTGCAACTTCCAAAATCCAAAATGCCATTTTTTTGTTTATAGTTTCTGATGAATTTGAATGCATCCTCTTATAATTTGTTCTTCTTGACTTGAAAGAAGTTCTAGAACAGCTAGATGCTTCTTGTAGACGAAAAGTCAGCTTGACATGTTCAACTACAAAAGGATTACTCATTTGAATTTCAGAAGGATTAGGCATATTTGAATGATTACTTTTTTTGATAGGATAACTTATCTGAATTTAAACCTCTTTGAATATTTAGAAAGATAGCTTTTTGTGAATTTAAACTGATAAGACTACAAAGTTGGATGGTTTGTTGTATCTAGCTCTATATAAAGAGCATGAAAATTACATACATCTGAAACCTATTATTCTTTACACTTCTGATGTTGATGCTGCATTTGAATTACAGTTGTTGAGTCGTTTCTTCCTTTTATGGGATATATGGTATGATCTAGACATACAACTGATGTCAAAAGAAAGTAATCCAAGGAAGAAATTAGGGAAACAGAGGTGAAGTGAGGAATGTATAGCAATTCTCCTTGGGCAAATTTCGCCCTGGTGCTAACATGACTCTTGGAGAACGAAATAGAACAGGAATTTTAAATCTGGAAATGGATACACCTCTTGGTCCGGATAAGTCTGAGTTCTCATGTCTTACCACTTACAGAGTGTAGTCTAAATTACACCTTTTGAGATGGTCTATGACTCTTCACAAACAAATGCATCCAATCATCACATTTTGTCATGCAAATGCCTGGCACACGCAACCGCCGTTATTACGCGAGTGTCAACTCACCGACCACCTACCTACGAAGTCATCGAACCTCGATTTCATTTCTATAAACTTTAAAACTCCTCGTACGTAAATTAATGGTTTGGACACGAAACTCTGGTCAGATCTCATGTCTAAGTCGTTCTCTTACATATTATTCACTTTGGAAGGGCAATTGTCTTCTTACTCTTTCACGACTTTCTATCTTGTTTATTAGAATTTGAGCTCAAAACTTCTGTTTTATGAGAGATTTAAATTAAATTCTAATATTAATTGACATACATTCAAAGTGTTGCTATATAAACAATTTACAAAACTTATAATCTTCTAATGTGATATTTAATTTCACTCTTTATACACTTAAAAATATTCTAATGGGCACTTTATGTTGAAGACATTTTCAATCGCCAATTGTAATAGCTTATTACTTTAAATAGTTCAAATTTAATGCTTTGATCCAATAAAACAATAACTCCGAAAATAGTGATTGTGGGGGTGGAAAGAGCGAGCAATTTGCCCCGAACATGCTTGCACCCATGAACGCAGACATAAACACATGCTTGAACCCATGCGTGCAGACATACACACGAAATAGAGGATCAAGAAACAAAAGAAAACCAACAGACGTAGTCCCTGGGAAGCTAAATTTCTTGATTGCTCACAACTAACCACAAAGAAATATCAATTAATCATCGATCTGTAACACACATTTATATACGTGTGTGGAATATGTTGTTTTGCAAGGCAAAAATCAATTATTTTAGAATATCCCCAAAGGTACTTCATTATGCTAGACAAAAGCGCACGTGTACATCCCTGAGTACCTCTTCTTACAGGCAATTTTTTTGTCATATGCGCTCAATTAGCTACCAGAGGACGACAATATTTCTAGCAACAGGATTTACCATCTAAGAAATCTGCCTTCCACCGTGAACCGCCCGCACGGGTCACGGGTCGGCCCGCGGTCCCGATTTTTACGGGTCATGGCCGGCCCGTCCGTCTTGACACCTCTACTCTTAGAGAACGAAATGGAACAGGAATTTTAAATCTGGAAATGGATACACCTCTTGGTCCGGATAAGTCTGAGTTCTCATGTCTTACCACTTACAGAGTGTACAGTCTAAATTACACCTTTTGAGATGGTCTATGACTCTTCATGTACGCTCAATACACAAACAAATGCATCCAATCATCACATTTTGTCACGCAACTGCCGTTATTACGCAAGTGTCAACTCACCGACCACCTACCTACCATGTCATCGAACCACGATTTCATTTCTATAAACTTTAAAACTCCTCGTACGAAAATTAATGGTTTGGACACGAAACTCTGGTCAGACCTCATGTCTAAGTTGTTCTCTTACATATTATTCACTTTGGAAGGGCAATTGTCTTTTTACCCTCTCATGGCTTTCTATCATGTTTATCAGAATTCGAGCTCAAAACTTCTGTTTTATGAGAGACTTAAATTAAATTCTAATACCAATTGACGTACATTCAAAGTGTTGCTATATAAACAATTAACAAAACTTATAATCTTCTAATGTGATATTTAATTTCACTCTTTATACACTTAAAAATATTCTAATAGGCACTTTATGTTGAAGACATTTTCAATCGCCAATTGTAATAGCTCATTACTTTAAATAGTTCAAATTTAATGCTTTGATCCAATATAACAATAACTCCGAAAATAGTGATTGTGGGGGTGTAAAGAGGGAGCAATTTGCCCCCAACATGCTTGCACCCATGAATGCAGACATAAACACATGCTTGAACCCATGCATGCAGACATACACACGAAATAGAGGATCAAGAAACAAAAGAAAACCAACAGACGTAGTCCCTGGGAAGCTAAATTTCTTGATTGCTCAAAACTAACCACAAAGAAATATCAATTAATCATCGATCTGTAACACACATTTATATACGTGTGTGGAATATGTTGTTTTGCAAGGCAATCAATTATTTTAGAAATATCCCCAAAGGTACTTCATTATGCTAGACAAAAGCACGTGCACATCCCTGAGTACCTCTTCTGACAGGCAAATTTTTTGTCATGTCATGCGCTCAATTAGCTACCAGAGGACGACGATATTTCTAGCGAGTAATAGGAGTTACCATCTAAGAAATCTGCCTTCCATCCATATATGTCAACTTGTTTCGACGAGAACTTCATTGACATCAATATCTGCTAAAGTTTCTTTCCCAAACAGTGTAAATCCAACAGTTGCCTGCAAGAAAAAAAAATTAAAATAAAGTAAGAAACTCATCCATGGACAGCTAATGAAAGTGCCAACTTCATGAAAATGAAAAAAAAAAAGACTGTTGAGAAGACTTCAATTGGAGCCTTCAGAGATTCCTATATCAGTAAGTGAGCAACTACCACAAGGGTATAACACAAAGTCGCATATTTCTTCAGCTATCATTTTATTTTGATAGGACCCACAACTTTTTAACCACACATTTCATGAACATTTATCAAAATCTACTAAAAATCTGATTTTAGTTTCTACCAAACAAGGCCTTAATATCTTCAATTTTCATTTTTTGGCTTGTTTTAGCGCATGTGGGGTGGGGGGGAGGGGGTAGAGCAAGGACGGCTCCATTTCCCTCATAACATTAAATACATGGAGCAAGATGATATACCAGCCCCCTTTTGTGATCAAGCTTCTTAAGGATGCCCGAAAATCCCGCAAAGGCACCCGATGCAACTTGGACTGTTAAACCTGGTACTAGACTTGCATTTTTCTTTCCTGTTACTGCTGCTTCAGCTGCCTTTCTAGATCGGCCTCTCCTCTTAGTTGGCGTATTGGAATGCGTAGCATCATTGGAGATGACGAAAGGAGATTCTACACCCAACTTCAAGGAATCCGGAGCTCCTTCAGCTTGCTGCTCTTCTTCAAACGCTTGATCGGCCATTTCCTGTTCTTCCTTTGCTTTCTTGAATATTTCTTCCATGTCATCCTCGTCTACTGGTCTAGGTTTGTTAATCTGACGCTTTCTGTAAATGATTAAAGAAGAGTTTGCCAGGAGTATTAAATACTGTCCTAGAGATTTTCCTGAGTGAAGATGAGACGTATTTGATACTTGCACATTATATAAGATCGATGCCAAATTTATCGGGAATAAGGAAACAGGTAGATCAAACAAACAAGGGTGAAAGGAACAACCCAGACTCTTACGTATTTCCGACCTTGGATCCAACAAATCCTCCAATCCCATCACATTCTCGTATGAAGTCGTGTAACTCCCTGTTCATTACACACCTCAAAAACACACATCCAGGGAAGAGGGGTTTTGGTTTAACAGAGAGTGATCCATTCTTCAATTTTCTTTTGATTTGCACAGATGGAATATATACCTGCAGATCACAATAACAAGATGCTCAGGAGCATAAAGGACCAATGGAGTTATAGCTCCACTCAATTTCCTGCCTTGAAATGTAGATGGCTTTGAGCTCAGAATAAGTTTGAAAACTTCCGGTAAATAAGGTTTGCAAGCAGAAGCAAGTGGAATGTATGTCTTTTGGTGCTTATATACTTTGGGGGCTATACATTGATACTATTTGAATCTTGGTGCTCGTCCGCACAAATCATTATATCTTGATATCTTCATCAAACCATTTGTTCTAGTTAGTACAAATTTGCCATGGAAATATAAATGATGCTTTCTACCCTCACGTTACAAACGTAATTCCAATTACCTTAATTTACATTCATTATGAAAACAACTAGCTTGTTTTCAATTTTTTTGCGCGGTCTCTCTCTTATATATCCCGTGTAAATTTTCCTTTTCCAGTAGCATTGAAATCGAATTTGTAACAAAAGCTGAATATTTCTCAAAACACTTAACTAAGAAGCTAGTAAACTAATGTAAAATGCTTGGATGCCAAATAATTACTTAACTTTTAACATCAAAGCATATTGAAACAGCTTTCTTGTCTTAACGAAGTTCCAAGTTGTGACTAGCACATATCTTCTTAGTTAGCCAGAGAATTATTACATATTTTCCCAATTAGCTTGTAATTACACTTCATATAAAATAGTTTTAAATCTGGAGAAATTACTGCGGAAACCATCACCAATTAGCTCAATTTTACACAAATCCCAGCCAACAAAAATTTGCAGGATAAATGAAAAATATAAGAAGATTGCACCAAACCCATATCCCAAACCAAAATTACCTTGAAATCAACATTGGGGAAATTTCGGGCCAGTGACCGAGCCATTCGTTCGGCAGTTTCTTGGCCCGAAACTCTGGAAACTCTAACTACCCACCATTGAGGGCCGAGCAAAGCAAGGTTATCAAGATTGAGTTCTTCAGTCCAAGAAGTGTAACGCTTTTTGGGCTTCTTGATAAGCCTGTCTTCCACCTCTTCTCTCCAGTTGTAAGCGGGTTTACTCTCTCTCCTCTCGTTTCTCAGCTGCCTTCTCTCTTTAGCCGTGAGGCAGCTTTCATTGACTGATTCAATAGTTGCAGCGATTGTGGAAACTATGGGTTTATGGGTGTGGGTTTTGACAGTGGTGGGGGAGGGGATAGAGAGAAAGCGAGAGCAAGAACTCCATGAGAGAAGACCTTCCTTCATCTTCTTTTACATCCAGTTACTGGAACTAGACGTTACTTGATAGTGGATAGCGTATTATCTTTTTTTCTCGGAGCACTTGTGCGTAAGCCAAGGGAAGATGTTTTGAAGTACCCAAAAAAACAAAGATTTATATTTCGAAAGTGTATATACATAAATTATATTTAATTAAATTAGATTCATAAAATCTCTTCAAAATATAAATTCACCGTCAAAAAGAAAAGAAAAGATAGAGAGATCTATCCTATTTTAGATTACCGTCGCCTGAAACTGGCTGATTGAAAATAACCAGACAATTTAGGTTATAAATTGGAAGTTATTGTCACAGTAGATAAGAATTTTTGAAGGAAGCGGCTAACATTGTAGAGTTGTTGTGTTGTATTGTATTGTTGGCAAATGGCTTTGAATTAGATCTAAATGGTTTCGAAGTCACAATTGGTGGCGGCTAATATTGTATTTTTGTTGATTCTAGAGATGGCAAACGGACCGAGCGGCTCGTCGGCTCGGCTCGTGAAAACACGAGCCGCAAGCCGCTTGGGCTCGTCAAATGATGAGCCGCAAGTGAGCTCGACGAGTCGATCAATGCTCGGCTGATCGAGCTCGTGAGCGGCTCGTGGGCAGGCCCACGAGCTTGACTAGTTGAGCCCTTGGCTTGTGGGTTCGTGAAAAATTAAAGAAATCTTTTTAAAAAAACGTGAAAAAGTAAAAAAAAAAAAAATCAAAACGAGCTCGTGGGTTTAAGGGTCGAGCCAACATGACTAGCTGAATCTTCTTACTTTTGAGTTTATGAAACGGTGTTGAAGCTTAAATCGTGACTTGTTATGATGAAAATTGAAGAGCTCCATTAGCCTGTAAATTGTGATATTGAAAAGATCAATTGGCCTATAAACTGTGAGTTGCTGTGGCGGAGATTGAAAATATCAATTTTTACAAGTGATATTGATTCAATGGCCTATGATCAGCGTTTTATAATATGTGACTTGTTGATATGGATCTATGACATATGTACTATGACATGTAACATGTGAACGGTTACATGTGACCGATGATAGCGATCCAATAACATATAATCAGTTCTTTCGAATATGTGACATGTGGACATTGATCTGTTGTCTATGCAGTATGACATGTGACTTATGAACGGTTACCTGTGACCTGTAAATTTGAATATGTGACTTGTTATCAGTGCACAAAGACATGTGACATCTAATATGTGGCTAATTGAAATTGATTTGTGACTTATACAATATGACTTAAGACTTGTCAACATAAATCAGTAATCTGTGACCAGTTCTATTTGATCTATGACTTGTGAAAATTGATTTGTAGCATATTCACAATGACCCGTGACATGTGAACTGATATCTGTGACATGTAACAAGTGCATATTGAACTTAAACAATTAAATTATGACTTGTAACAAGGGACTTATGACCTGTGTAAATAAACATGTGGCCAGTAATAATTAACAATTCGAATAACTTATCTATACTAGTGACAGACAATAAAAATCACCACAAAACCTCACTATCACCACCATTTGCAAAACACCAATTACAACCAATAAAAATTACCCTAAAACACCGACTATGTAGTAGATCTGAAAACCACTTTAAAATTACCACAAATCACCTACAAAACCACCACAAACCCGCTGCAGCTGGAAATAACACGATATAAACACACATAATCATAAATTCATATATTCTCCTCCAAATTCAAAGTAGATTCACATATGAAAATTTTAAAAAGTCAAGAATTTATGAATTATTGACTAATGAGCTTTGAAATTAGTAAAAGTAGACGCGGTCCCTCATATCTCTTCGCCGAGAAATTGATTCTTCCTTCAATGCCTTGAAATCGAATAAGCATTTGTAGGACTAGATTTCGATGAAAATAAGGGAAAGGGGGTTTTATGGATCGAAAAATACTATTCATCCCCAGTGGAGATGTATCCCCAGTCTATGTGGATGTAAATGATTGGTTAAATGATAGGTAAAATTAAATGACTTATTTAATTTCACCTATCATTTAATGCCACATTAACGCCACATAGACTGGGGATCATCCCCAGTTGGGATGAATAGCATTTCTCTTTATGGATCTCCCATTATGTGCATCGATAAGTGGAGGAATTTATTGAAGGAGTTCAAGAAAGCTAAGCAGAATCAAGATAGTAATGGAAATGGTTATGCGAAGATGTCTTATTACAAGGAAATTGAGGAGATTTTGAGGGACATGAACAAGATTGAAGCTAATTACAAGAGTCACACGCTAATGCTGGCGGTTCCTAAGTCGAATCATTTTTGCATTTTGCTGAAAAGAGATTTTCTTCTCTCTTATTATTTCGTGATTTTGGTGTGAAAAATGTGAATTTCCGATCTTGAAAAATGCACTAGATTGTTATTACGGTATCTCCGACACAGGCGGCGACAAATGGCACATGACTGTGTTGTGGCTATAGGGAGCATGTTAGTGAGAGATTAGAGAGAGTGCATAATTAATATCGTATTTCTTTAATAAATATTAAATAATTAATGAAAGATGAAACTTAAAATCTTATTTATGAAGTTGGATCTTAACCGGCCTCCATGTCATTTCCACATGTTTAAAAGCTACTTATCCACAACAATCTGCATTGGCTTCATCAGGTGTAGCCCAAGTCCCAATACAGATTCAGCCCAATTTTGAATATATATATATATACACTAGGTGCAAGCAACGTGCAATGCACGTTTGCCTAGTTTATATTTAATAGTTTTGTTTAAGAATTAATTTGTTATTAATAAAGATGTAATTTTTTTGGTTAATTAAATAATTAATGATGTAATGTTTATGTAATTGATAAATAATTAGATGTGTGATTTTGATGTTGTGATGTAAGTTGGTGAGATCGAAGAAAATAAGCAAAAGTTGACAAATTTGGAGAAATGGCTAAATTGTAAGGGATCCAAAGTTCGGGGACTAAAATGTAAATACTTAAAAGTTGTGCCGAACCTCACGATGAAGATTTGAGAGTGCTCGGAGTCAATTGGATAAAGGAAGACGTCAATGGAATCAAATTTAGTCAAAAGATGATCACAAATCAATTTCCAACCGAAAAGTTATGCTCCGATGTTTTAGTCTCATATTGAGACCTATTTTTGGCATAGAAAGTGATCGAATTGGAGAATGATGTCTGAATCAAAGTTGTAGCCAGATGAGTTAGCTTTCCAACGCATTTTGAATCGCCTCAATCGGATATCGGAATACAAAGTTATGATAAAAACACTGAAAGAAGGTGCAGCTGCCTGTTTAAAACAAGAAATTCCGTTACATAGTCCGTTAAAACAACAAATTCCGTTAGTTTTTCCGTTAAAAACAAAAAATTCCGTTACATAGCCACTTTTAATATGTATATATATATGTCATAAATTATCAAATTAATTGGTTACAAATCAATTCTCGGTCACAATTAAAAAAATTATATATCACAAATTATTTCATAGTCACAAATTTATCAAATTAATAATCACGTATTATTTATTGATCACAAATGACAAATTTTATAAGTCACAACTTATTTTAGGTCACAAAACATCAAATTAATTGACCACAAATTAAATTTAGGTCACAATTTATAAAATTACTGGTCGCACATTAACAAATGTTTAAGTCACACAGTATTTATTGATCACAATTTATCTATTTCATGGTCACATATTATTTATTGGTCACACACCAATCAATTTATTGTGATCACCATCAACGCTTGTGACCACCACCTCACCATTGCCAGCAGCCGAAACCAATGCGCCAGAACCACCACCACCACCACCTCCCGGTAGGAAATTTGTATGTCACATATTATTTATTGGTCACAAGTTATTGGTTATAAATCACAAATTATTTTACGGTCCTAAAATATCAAGTTAATTGGTCACGAGTTATTTCTTGGTCACAACTTAATAAATTGTAAGTTACGATCACAATTTTTAGGTGACAAATTAATCAATTTATTTGTCACAATTTGGTCACAAACACCTTCATCCCATCCCACTGGCACCAGTACCAGTATAGCCACGATCACACTACCACCACAGCTTTAACCACCACAAGAAGTTCTGTTATGCTGAAATCAAATAGAAACCTAGTTGTTGTATTTAAGGTTGCAATACTTAGCATTATGCTCTGCTATGCCCCATTGATAGAAATACAACTACAACCGACAACAAACACCATCACCACCATCGCGGCGAGCACTGCACAAATAAGCTCCTCACAATAGCGTTGTAGACGTTGCTGTGGCACTCAAATCAAAGCCGCTTCCATTTTCAGATAGACAATTCCTGAAAACCATAGTGATCTTCGTGCCTCACAACGGCGCTATGGAACAATGCAAAGCGCCACGAAGTGTTGTCAAGCGGTGATTGATATCAACAGAGCCGCAAAGTGGCATCCTGTGAGTAAAGCAATGTGAAGCGCGTGGGTGACATCGGCACAACGCGATGAAGCGTAGTGTTGGAGTGTTTGTTGGTACCGACGACAGAGAGAGAG